CCCCCCGCCCCCTGACCAAGGTTTAGCAAAAGAATCTCTTGGCAGTGGGAACATCTTCAGCAGAAGTGGTGACTGAAATTAATGCACCTGATGTGGTTCTTTCTCTTGCCTCTATCAAAAGGCATCGCAGTTATTAGGCAATTTGGTAAGTTTTAAGGGTAAAACCAGTCTGCAGTGATGATGCTACTTTGTCTTTTAAGTTTAGAGAGTTAGTGAGTAATTCTTTAGGGTTCGCCCTGGTGATATTTGCTACCGAAGGTGCTGACTGTTACCCAGAAAGGGTACTTGCAGTGTCCAGTTTTATTGTCTTCCGGAGGAACCTGCCCCTCTCCATTGAGGAATGGAGACTTTAGGCTGTCTCATCCCTCTCTGCACTGAGATAATTTAAAAAAAGGTTTTGAGCCTCATTACCAAGTGATTGTATCTATAGCTGTAACTTGGGCATACTTAAATAACGTTTGCTGTGTAAGTGTGTTAGCTGCTTCTTTATAGATAGTTTTACAGAGCACATTAAGTAGATAAAGGGCATCCAGCCAGGAGGGGAGCATTCAGTAATCGGGTGAGATTCACATCCGACTGTGCTCGCTGGTGTGCACGTTCTGTGGTGATGTTGCAGAGACCAGCTCGTACAACCGGAGCAGCAGCATTGTCCTGTGATAGAGGTCCTCCATATGATCACCAAATGAAATGCAGCACTGCCTTTGGGACCCAGCAGTGCCATTTCTTAGCATGCTACAGTTGAGCAGAGGAGGAAGAGGCATATAAATAGCAAGGAGTGTGTGAGCTCCATCTCAGTGCCTGATTAACAATTACAGGAACTCCTTTTAATGCAGATCTCTGAGTCAGCCCTCTTCCTTTGGCTTCCTCTGTCAAACACTCCTTTGTTAGCTGTAAGTCCTTGATCGCCAGGAGCTTGTACCTTTAAGAGGCTTGTGGTAAGTGATTACTAATAGTGGCACCAGATACTGATAACACAGTGGTGGGTGACAACCACATTTCAACAGCTCAGAGATAGTCCTTCGAGTGCAAACAGAGCTGACTGTGAAGTTGTTAGAGAAGGAGGCACATATTGGCGCTCTGCTTCTTCCTTCAATAAATCCAGCACACAGCTTTGTTTATCCTCCAGAATTTGGTAATCTGCCTAGTCAGTGGCTCATGAAATTCCACTGCAGCAGAGAAAAGAAAATATTGCTATTCTAGTGAAGGAAAGTCAGATTTAGTATCTAGGCTGCCTCATCTAGAGATCTTTCATCAAGTGGAGATTTCAAGTAGCAAACAAAAGTGATAGTTCAGTGTCAACACAGTGATCAGTGATGTCAAGGATGAGTTTGACTCCAGCTCTTTTTTTCTTCTCCTCCTAGCTAAAAAATTCTGAGACTGCTGCTGAAGCAAACACGTAGCCCCTTGCTTTCCCCTGATCTCTGATCAGTTCAGGAAACAATCCTGATGGGTGCTGACAAAAGAAAATATAAGTACAGGCTGCTTCGTGATCGGAGTGGTGATTGCCCTCTCATGGGCTCAGTTTAAAGTTTATAGCTAAGAAGAGATACAGAAAGGAAATTTCTGAAGTGTTCTAGGGGAAGGCAGTTTATTTGGTTCAAGCCTTTTGACTCAGCTTTTTGCCCCAGAGATGGGGGAGCTTATTTAGCTAGAATTTCTGATGTTGTTACAGGGTGCAGCAGGTGCCTTTTTCAAACTGGAATAGCGTTGGATGGAATACCTCATTTTTCTAGTAACAGGCAGTGTTCTTCAAGATAAGCCACGTGTCTGTAAAGTGTGTGTGTTTGGGCAGGGGAGGGGGGGTCTTCTGTAGCAGTCTGAGCCAGTCCATTTTACTTAGGAAATGTGAGTTTCTTGCATAATAGTGAGGATTGAGCAACATGGGATTCAGACCTCTTTATTCATTTGCGCTCAGTAATTCTTGTGAATAATGCAAAAGGCAAAGTAAACACCAGTGATTCCCAAACTGCTGTATGTATCATTATGGCTACACATACTACTGCACTTCAAAGCAAGTAGCTGCAAGTTGAGAGCCACCTTTTGCTGCTGATGAGCCCTAGGGGAAAAAAGCGTTTGTGGATCATGATGTAGAGCGGTATGATGTATAATCTGAGTACGGTCATGTCAGAAACACAGCATAAGTACCTTCTTTTTCTTTTAAAAGTATTAAGAAGTAAGTTAGGAACTTCTTCATGTCCTTTCAAGATTTTTCCATTTTATTGTGAAAGATTATACTGGATTTAGGTAGTTCAGAACTAATGCTCCTTAATAATTGTCTTATCCCTAGAATATGGGCATGGCTGTTTCTTCAAGTGAGTAGTCCCAGAATGGCACACTGGAACCTGCCAGAAAAAAGAAAAATATATAAAAATTAGCATCTGAATAGGAAGTCTTTTTTTTCCTTATTGCAACAATATGCAGGAACATTTTGCTGACTTTCTATGTTAATATTTTGTTGATAGGCAGGTAGGTATTATAACATTAGACTACCTTCAAGTAGCTTACAGAAGTGCCTGTCAATGGGAGACAAACTGCCAGAACATTGCTTCAATCAGTGGTTCTTTCAGTGATCCAAGGGATATCAGGTACTGGATTAATGCACTTTGTTCTTTTCTTCTCAACAGGAAGCCTAAAAAGGAAGAACATCTTAGTGAAGAAGCTGCCAAGGTGATTTCTAGCCTTCCTGACTTAACTTTCATGCATGCCAAGGTGTTGATGTTCCCAGCCACATTAACACCTTCAACAAGCTGCCAAGAAAAGGTAGACTAAAGTGATGTGAATTGGACGTTTTCTATTGATTTTTTTTTTTCCTTCCCTCTGTGGGTCGTAAAAAGCAATCTTGCTTTAATTAAAAAAAAAATCAAGTTCAGATGATTTGTTGGTAAGCAGCACTAGAAAGGTATACATAGTAATGTATATTTATTTACATACTGGAGTCCTAAATTTATATTAGAGAAAAATGTAAATAATTGGGGGTAAATCTTTTTGAAGATCTATTCTTTTTGTTGTGCTGGGGTGTATACATTTATGTCTTTGTGAAATACACTGGTGGTGTCCTTCTTACAAAACTTTAAAAAGTTTAAAAAAAAAAAATCCTGGAAACACATAATGAAAACTTCAATCTTCACAATCTGTGAAATCCCCCTTAAAGGTTTTTAGATTGCATTGAGCATCTTTTTCTTTCCTGCATATATTAAAATACATGTTGCTGGGGAAAAAACCAAAAGGTTATGTTGTCCCTTCGCGGGTTTTCAGTTATTGTTGTTTTTTTAAAATCCAATGATTTCTTTTGTGTTTTAACAAGCTTAAGATGTGTTTTTCCTTTTCTTCTCCCCCATCCCCTCCCACTGTTTGATTGGTTGGCTGATCAATTTTTATGTTCTTAAACTTCAGTAGTACGGCTCTGTCACTAATAGCCTTTTGAAAGGTATGCTGTCAGTAACTTCTTGTTCCAGTTATGGATCACTGTCTAAACACTTGATTTTTTTGGGGTCATTAGAAGGTTGTCTGCTTTTAATCAGTTTGATTTGGAAAAGAAGGACCAAAACTATATGAATGTCTTATGATGAAATTTGCCTGTTTAAAAATTTTTATGTTCTGTTGTACCACTATTCCTGTTTGATTTTGCACAGTGTAAAATGACATAATCATAGATTGCTATGGTTTTAGGCTGTATATACAGTAAAAAACTATGGGTTGTAAATGTCTGGGGAAATTCCTATGGAAAAAAAGAGAGCTATGTAGAAGAACCTCTAAAAAGGTCAATGTGCATGCCCAAGGTCTTTTGAGATTTAAGTGTGTAAATTTCCTTTTAGCTTACACAAAATAAAATAATTTAAAAGATACATATGTATATAGTCTGCTATCTTTTTTATATAGGCTGTGTACGTTATTCACGTTTCTGTTGATGGGAAAATCGATGCGCTGCATTAACAGTAGAACCTTCTAATTTGTCTTGCGCAGTCTCACAAAACATACCTGCCAGGGTCCTGCAGAAGGAGAAGCAGACTTTTCTTTAATCGTCCTGCCTCTTTGAACATGTTGCGAGGTGGTCTTTTATTTCTGTCTCCAATTTGCCTTCTGGCTTGTAGGGCGATGTGGCTCAGGACATGTCAGTATTTTGGGTTAGAGGCTTCTTCAAAGTAATTGGCAGTACTCAGCTGTAAGAGACAAATTATGGTGAGGTGAGAAAGGACAACTAGTTTTGCCTATTTCTTAGCTAGAAATAAAAATGTAAAGGTAGCATTTGCTTAAGTTTCCTAACATGTTAGCTTGCACTGTAGCTCTTTCAGCAACATCTTTTCAGAGGATATCAGTGGACTTGTCAGCAGGTAAGGCATGCTCTGAGTGCTGATATTTCTTGAGGGTGCTTTGCATGGGCACAGACTCTCCCATGTCTAACCTTTACTATGTGCACGGCTCTTTAAGTGCTCAGTAGTCACCACCAGTTCATCACTTCATATCTAGTTCGGAGAAATCTCCAATGCGTTTTCTTACCTCTTTGAATTATTTATCGTCTGACAGCACTTGGGTCAGAAAAGTTAAAGTTTGCGTTTGATGTCATTAGCGGGTAAGCTGAAATGTTGTCCTTGCAAAAGGAAGCTGTTTCCTTCTCGAAAGGTCCTCGAGAGATGCGCGCTGGAGTTGCACCGTTGTGAACACGGGAGTTTCAGTGAGGGGTGGCTACTCAGAATTAAGAGAGCAGCTCTTACAGTTGTGATAAAGTTAATTTGTAAAGGCTAAATTGGCTCCTTTGCCCTCTAATTAGTACTGCAGCGTACAATGGTGTGGTATCAAACTGCACCCTGTTGTAGCTGAAAAGGTTTATGCAAAAGCCATCTGCTTTACCATGTAGCCCCAAAAACACTTCTATTTGCTGCTTCTGCAGATTTTCATTACAGTACTGACTTCATGCCTGTTACATGTCAAAATTAGCTTTGCTAATCTCGCAGGTTTAGCATAGTATTCTTTAGTGCATGCTTATTATGTCATTCAGTTCTGGTGTTGGGCTGCTGTAGGTTAAAATCGGTCCTTTTGTTTTCCTAACCGTGGCGTGTCCCTTGGAGTCAGAGCAGTGGTAGAGCTGCAGCAGAGAGCTACAGCTATTGTTTCAAGAATATGTTTAGGAGCTGACTCATGATCCTTGTCTGGCAGCAAGTGGACTGAAGTATTAAGGAGAGGTGGGGGTGGAAGTGCCAGCTGCAAGTTGATCTTTAGTCTCCTCACAATTGCCTCTAGAGGCAGCTGCCCATTTGTCTTCCAGTCTCCAAGTGCAGTATTGGTGGCCCACCGTAGATGGGGGAGGGGGGAGAAATGGCAGGGGGGAAAAGAGATTTCTATTGTGACTGATGTACCAATCTGAAACGTTGTGAAACCTGGTACTACCTAGAGTGTGTTTATGGGGTTTTTATGTTCTTTCTGCCCAAAAGAAAAAAAAAAAATTGCATCCCACAGACCTTCACGCTGCTGAGACATAAATCTTCCATCTGAATTCAGCCTTTTGAGGTGGATGCTGCTTGCCTTAAAACATAGCATTGCTTTTTGTCTCCTAGCTTAAGCCCCCTTCTTTCTTGTGGATTGTGGGATGGACAGACAGGCTCCTCTACCTCTCTCCTCCCGTCTTGTACAGGCAGCTTTGTTCATATGCAGAAAGTTTTGTCTAGCAGATCCAGCTGCATCGGGGTCGTCCTTCCATGCTGTTCCCATTGACACGGCATGCCTTATCTAGTTTAATCTTGCCGGGAGGTTTATGGGCAGGACGGTAATTGATACTTTCTGCACATACGTGTTGCTGTGCATTGTCATCAGACATGTCAACGTGTATCACATTCACTTGAGAACTAGTGTCATTTAATAGCGAGGCGCTTATGTGCCCAGCCAACAGAAGCAGCAGAGGACACTCGGTTCAGATGCAATTGCCTGAGTTGGAACACGGCCATGAAGCGAAGTCCAAAACTCCCACTGTGCAGCGAGCTGCAGGCCCCTGAATGACTGCTAAGGAGAGCTGGACTCTGCTTGTATTATCCAAAAGACTGCACTCTGATGCTCAGTGGTTCAGCGCTGACTTATCGGGAGCATTACCACCTGCTGCAGGTGTTAGCAGTGCTGTACTTCCCACAGCACTTGAAACGTTAAGACCTTCTCAGAGTATCATTAGCTTGACAGATTCATTTTGAGACTCCAAAAATAAAGCTTACAAATAACGTACGTAGATGCCCTCAAATGCAATTAGTGTGTACTGAAGTTAACCCTTCATCACATTGGATTGTTGTACAGAATTTTACCTGGTAGTGAAATTGGCACGTGCAAAGTTCTGTTGTTGGACTGCAGGACTGCTGCACTTGGGCTGAATATCTGGTAGTCTTTACAGGATGCGAGGGAGACTTAGGTCAGTGCATGCAAGATGGATCGATCAGCCTTGGCCCAACTACTTACACCTAGGTGCAACTCTTTTGTGCTGGTTCCGCACCTCTGCATAATTATCTTTTTAATTTCAGAGCAGTCTGAAAATACAGGATAGTTGCAAAATACACTTGAATGTCATTTAGAAAAGCATATGGTATCTAATAATTGCATAGCAGCTGGCTAGGAGTGTCTGCTACAAAAGCAGAAAAGTTTTTCATAATTGGGCTTCTGTGCTGAAGAGCACAGCCACTAAAGGCAGCAAGCAGCCTGGTCTGCTCCCTTAGGTGAACCTGGAGCATGAAAGGAGATGGGGAGAAACAACACATTCAAATACAGAGGGCTAAAAACAGGGTGAGGAGGAGCTGGAAGGAAACATAAAGCAAGAGCTCAGGTGAAGCTCTGAGTAGGGGAAATAAGGTGGTGAAGCAGGACTTGGAGTGTAGGCAGCTGGGATAGCTATAGGAAGAACAGGTGGTGGAGAAAGTGGGATACAAGCATGAGGAGCAGGGGCATTTGGAGAGGAGAGAAGCCTGGGATGGATTACAGGGGCACACACGGTGCCCACTGGCAGCGTTTCTCAAAAATCTGGAATTGAGCCTCAGAGACCCAAGTCTCTGTTACTGTACTGCAGAGAAAATGTGTCAAACCCATCGGGTGAGGCTAAGTTGCGTGCGTCGCAACAGCCCGCTATTGCTATCAGTTATTTTTGGTAGAGAGCTGGACTGCAGACACTGGTGCATGTTTTAGCATTGATACAAGTCCAGATGTTAGAAGACCTATTTTAAAAAATATTTTAAAATAAGGAGGTACATTATAAATCCAGAGTGTAGGTATAAAATCAAATCCTCAAAAGCTAAGCTCCGCTGCTGTGATTTGGAACTGCAGCCTCAGTCCTGTCATGCATCTGCAATGTGACAGGCGTTACTTACATATCATCCTGTCTTCACCCGATCCTTCTCTCATGCCCTCCGCAGATTTATTCTCTGAATCAGAGTAGTACAGTGTAACTCTTCTCTGCAGGGCCCCTGTTTCATATAGCTAAAGAGAAAGGACGGCCTTATGTGAAAACTACGCAGAAGGCACAGTGGAGTGCAATGCTCTCCTGGCTTGAAGCTGCTGACCATGCCGGCATTTTTGCAGGAGGTCACTCGTGCATTTCTGTCCTTTGGTGCCCAGCATGAGTTGCCTGATTGGGATGTGCAGAAATGCTAATTGCTCCGGGATGTAGCTTAAGCAGTCAGAAGTTTTGCTTGTTTGATATACAATCAGGGCTCTGCGACGCCAGGGGTCAGGTGCATGTGCTAAGCACCCAAAACTGCTGGAGCTCTTGTTTTCATCTCATCTACCTGTTCTTAAATCTGTAGTATGTGTCATTATCCCTGTGTTACAGCAGGGTTGCAAAGATCAACTCTGTTTGAAATGTCGTGCTCCTCTGTGTAGTTTGAGCGACATCTGAGAAGGACTCATCTGATACAGGTGTCATGCACATCTCAAAGGGAACGCTCACTGTCTTACGTCTGGATTCACTATATGGTCACCAAAGAAAAGTATGTTCCTAGTTTAGGGGCTCTGAATCTTCCTCTGCAGATCTGCTGATTTTGTCAGGACCGTACTCACCTAACATTAGGGCACATACCTGCAGAGGTTCCTAGTACTATATTCCATATAGGAATTGGATTGTGTGCCTTAAATAAGGCTTGGGACTACTTGTAGAAT